GCACTGTGAGGCAAACACCTTCTCCCGCCAGCGCTGCAACAGGGACTGGTACTTCTTAGTAAACTCTGGCTCCAAGGCATCTAAAGGTTGAACCTGAAGGTAGGAAGAAGAGGGAGAAGTGGCTCCTGAGTGAGTAGAGAAAGAGATTCCATGTTTGTCTTTTCTCTGTCCTTCTGTAGCAGCAGAAGTCACAATAGGAGGAGTTTGAGGTCTGGCAGTATACCCACCCAGGGAGGGAGGCTAGTGGCAGGTGTAGAGCCTAGCAGGTGAGGGCTGCCTGGGGAGGACATTACCTTTCTGGTCAGCTCCTCCTCCTGTAGGGTGAGCATGTGCATGAGGCTCTGCACCCGTACCTGCAGCAACTCTGCAGTGGCCTGCAGGCTGGCCCGGTCCTCCTGCAAATGCTGCAGGTGGAATGAGAGCAGTGCCAGTCAGAGCCTCCATTCCTGCCCTGGGGTAGCAGCCAGTCTGGGTTCCACAACAGCACTGCCTTATGTAGTTGGGACCATGCTTTCCTCCAAGGGCTGCCACCATCTCCTGACCTGATTCCCCATAGGCCCCTCCACAGCTACACCCCTGTGCTCCCTCCACCTGCACAGTGTTCAGAAGCTCTTGTCGCTCTGGCTCCCACGCCTGGCTGTGGACCTTGGGAGGGACTTGTTCCCCCACATATCTCCTCAGATTCTCTACCAGGGTCACCTGAGTCTCCAAGTCTTCTTGGGTTTCACTAGAGTTGGCATGGAAACAGACAGGCAGCCATCAGTGGAGCACCCTGGAGACCTCACACCATCCACCATCAGGCCCCTCTCAGCCACCCATGCCCACTTACTTTAGCTGCTTCCGCAGCAACTCAGCCTCCTTCTGGGCCACAGCCAATTCCTTGGCTTCCCCTGCCCTCCTGCTTTCCAGACTATTCAGAGACTTCTCCAAGCCCTCAGCCTTGTTGGTCAAACTGGAAAGAGCTTCCTGGTGAGCCTGTGTCAAGGGGACAGCTATGGAAAGAAGAACAGGCTGAGCAGGGGCCAGCTGGCCCCACATGAAGGCCTTCCAAACTTCCCCTGTGCTTTGATCTTATCCCTTCACTCCCACTGTCCATGACCTCAGAGAACAACCCAACAAAGATCACCCAACCATGTGGCAAAAAGTGATCGTCCTTGGCATCTTGTTCTCCCCAACCACCTTCAAACCCATCAAAAGTTCTTACCAGGTCTCTTTCCAAACATATTTTACTTCTCTGTCTTTCCAGATTCACTGCAACAACCTTAGGTAAGCTACCTCCTCTCTTGCCTGGACAATGGCAACCATCTCCTAACTACTTTTTATTTTGCCTTGTTTTGGTGGTACTGGGGTTTGAACTCAGGGCCTTAGGCACTGTACCATCCTAACTAGTCTTTAAAACCCTTCAGTGGCTTAACATTCAGAACCAAATTTAGATTTCTTCCTATGCCTGTAAAGTCTGTGACTTGGTCAGGCCTACCTCCCTGAGCTCCTCTCCTGTGGCTCTCTCCCTGCTCACCCTGTGCCAGTCATAGCAAGTCTGCCTAGGGCTGAACAGTAGCTTCCTTACTCTGCAGAGGAACAGCAAAGGACAGTGATGTCCCCTCCTCAGAAAGGTCTCTCTTGGCCCTCTAATCCTTCCCCACCACCCTACCCTGTTCTATCACTGTTCACAGCTTTCTGAGCACTGACACCATCTGATATTATCCTACTACAGTATGTACTCACTGTCTGCTGTGCCCCATAGAATAGGTTGCTCTAAGGAGGGAGGAAATCTGTCTTTTCTTGCTGCCTCAAACAATGCCAACTGTGTCACAGCCACTAACAATCACAGGACAGGTGGGTGAGGGGGCAAAGTGGCTGCCTTGCTTTCTGATGTCTCCCCACTCTAGCCCTATCTCCACACCAAAGGAAAGTTTGTGATATAAGGCACAAAACTGATCTTTTTAGATCAAATGCAAATCTGATCATGTCATTTTTCTGCTTAAAACCTTTCAGTGGTTAGCCAGGTACACTGGCTCATGCCTGTAATCTGAACTGAGTGGCTGAGATTGAGAGGATCAAGGTTCAAGGCTAGCCCAGCCAATTAAATAGTTTGAGAGACCTCATCTCCAAAACAATCAGAACAAAACGGACTAGAGATGTGGCTCAAGTGGTAGAGTGCTTTGCAAGTGTGAAGCTCTGAGTTCAAATCCCAGTCCCATCAAAAAAAAAAAACTTTCAGTGGTTATTCATTTTGGGGGGGCAGTTTTATAACTTTATTTAGTTAACTTTACTAACTAATCAGCAGTTAGGTATCATCCACATTGCCTTAGATTTTTGAACATGGTAACAGGGTTACCAAAGTATAGACCTTGTTTGATGACAGTGCTATACATGTTCAAAGAAATTTCTCTAGCAATAAATTATAAAAATGATCCCTAAAGGTAGTCTTTATGGTTTTTGTTTGTCTGTTTTCGTCTTTTGGGGTTTTTTCTGAGATGTCTCACTATGCTGTCCAGGCTGGTCTGGAACACCTGAGCTCAGTGACCCTCCCACCTTAGCCTACACACACACACAACATCTATCTCTCTCCTTTGTCTATTTTCTGACTGGATTGCTGATCTTTCCCTTATCAATTTCTAGACACAAATTATGTATTAGGGATATTAACCTTTTCCTGTGACATGAACTATGAATATTCTTCTGTAGTTTATCATTAGTTCTTCAACTCTGTCATTTGAATATCAATATTATAAAGCCAATGTGAATATTCTTTTTTAAGGTCTCTGTAATTTGAGTCACAGGTACAAAGGCCTTCTCTGCTCTAACATTATAAAGGAATTCACTCATGTTTTGTTCTAATATCCGTATGGTTTCATTTCTTGACATCTCGATTGGTTAGGGTGGCCTTTCCTAATCCCCAGACTGGGTTAGTGCTCCCTTGTCCCAATTATAATTAATTAATTACAATCTCATTAAATGTTGAATGTATCCTGCATTAGGCTGTCAGCTCCACCCATGAGGGTAGGGACTCAGGCAATTTGGTTACAGAGTCCCAGCTGTTTCAGGAAATAGCAAAGAGAAGCACTGAACTTCCTGACAATAATCTCCCTTTCCTAATCCTCTTCAGGACCCATGCCTACCTTCGTCCCTGGCCCCCACCACACTCTCAAATGTATAGAGTACGTGGTGTAAAGAAGGAAGGAAAACTACTTCCTATTGAAGAGGAAAAGAGGGCATCAAGTCGTGAGAGATCACCTGAGTCCTGAGTGCAATCTGAGTAAGACCAAAACACCCAAGTTCTCCCTTTTTCTTGGCCACCTATTTTACTCTCCTGCTCATGGGGGTCTCTTCTAAAATAATACTTGCTCTTTGCCACCAAGAAGTTCCTGTCCTATCACCCAACCCCCTGCCACATTCACCTGCTCTTGGTGCAGCCTCTGAACCTCCTCTAGCTCCCGCTGGTTCCCCTCTTCCAGTTTCTTCCGAACAACCTCAGCCCCAGCCAAGGCAGCACGCAGACCTTCAGCCTCAGCTCGGCCAGCCTTCTCTGCCCGTGCCAGAGCCTCCAGCTCCACAGCTTGGGCCTCCAGCCTCATTTTCTGCTGCAGCGAGGTCTCCCGTAGGGACCGGACCTCCTCCTCCAGCTGCCGAAGCTCTTGCAGCTGCTGAGAGATCAGCTCTGCCTGCTGGCTCAGGGCCCGTGACCCATCCATCTCCAGGGACCTTCAAAAACAGGTTAGCACAGGCAAGAAGTGTCTCTGATCCTGGGAAGATGACCAAGGGCATAAATGGAGACAGGAAGAAGAGGATCCCTCTGCTGCCACATGCAGAGGTGTAGGGGATGAAGCTGAAGCATGGGAATCTCTGCATTCACATAATCATCTTCATCATTCATTGAGTCCCTACTAAGGCCAGGTGTGTTGATACATGCCTGTAATTCTAGCACTAGGGAGGCTGAAGTAGGATTGGGAGCTTGAGGCTAGTCTGGGCTACTAGACTATAATAAAAATTTTAAAAGTCCTTACTAAGCACATAAGGTCCACTGCCTGGTTCAGAGGACCCAAGGGCTAGTAAGAACATGGAACATAATCTCTCCAGAGAGCTACACATAGGCAGATATGTTAAACATCAAACTGCACATCATAAGACCAGATATTCTGAGTGAAGAAATTAGAAGAACATGAAGAGACTTCTAAATTCTGATCTAAGGGCAAGTAAAAGTGAGGGAAGCATTGGGGGGGAGGGGGGCGTGGGGCAGGGTTTCCTGAACTTCTATTATCTACATGGCAAGGCCAAGTGTGAGGTACAAGCTTTTATCACATGTATGGTATACTATATGAGCAGTATGAGAGAAAGTGCCCAATCTTTGGAAAATAATCTACTGGCATCATGTACATTTTGTTTTGTTTTCTGCAGTAGTTGAATTCAGGGCCTCATGCTTGCCAGGTAGCTGCACCACCACGTAAGTCATCCAATTAGCCAGCCCTGCATCACTAAGTTTAAACCGGCTTGTTCTATAGTTCCTGAGAGAGCTCCCTCACTAGAAGCCACAGGATTCTTTTTTAACTAAAAGGAATCTGTAGACAAATTAAATGACTTGCTTGCTAAAGGTCCCCTTGCTGGCAACCAAACTAGAAACAGAATCTGTAGTGACACCAATCTAGTACTTTCTTTAATCATGATCTTGGGCTCATGGAGTAGCTCAAGTGGTAGAGGGCCTGCGCAGCAAGCATGAAGCCCTGAGTTCAAACCCCAGTTACCACAAAAATAAATATACAAGCAAACTGAAATATGGTAATGGTAGCAGGAAATCATTCATTCTTTAAAAGGTGAATAAACAAATAAACAAACACAATTCAAAAAAAAAAATCATGCTCCTTCCTTTTTGATACAATCCTATTCTGGATTGACAGAATGACATCTCTGTGCACATGGGAAAAGACAAGAAACAAGAATGTGCACATTCTTGTATGCACATGAAACAAGAATAAGAATTTTCACTTTTTAAGCATGAATCCCTGAATTCAAACCTCAAGACCACATAAAAAAATACATACAAAGTAACAAAATTGTAGGCCCTGGGGGATCTGATCCCTAGGTTGGGGAGGGGGAGGAAGTAATAGAGTAATAATTTTCACACAACACATTTAGAGACAGCATGGCCAACTTGTGACAAGTTCTCCATAAAAGCCTTTTTCAACTACTCCATCAGAACGAACCAGTATACCACAATACTGGGTCTATATGTCTAGTCTTACCTTGCTTTACATGGGGCTTTAAGATTAGCTGCTGGCCAACCTATCTCCACCCTTAGAAATTAAATTCCTTACTAACTGATAATTTAAGTCATGATCTCTCTTACTCATCTTTGTTATGTCCAGCCCTAACATTATTTATACATTGTAGGTACCAATAATTGCTCATGCAAAAATGAGGGTTGGGGCTGGGGTAGCAATCCCCTAGCATGGGCAAACCCCTGGGTTCAATTTCCAGCAGAAAAAGAAAAACCACAAGTTATAGAACCAAGGGCCAAAATAGAGTGAGAGATCTATTTCTTCTTTTTTTTTTTTTTTTTTTGTTACTGGAGAGTGAACTCAGAGCCTCATACATGGTAAAACACTCTACTTAAGCTAGGCAACCTTTTTTTTGAGACAGGGTCTTGCTAGTTTTGCTCAGAGTGGCCTCAAATGAGATCTTCCTACCTGGGCCTCCCAAGTAGCTGCAATTACAGACATGCACCAGCACCACACCTGGCCTAAGGAATCTATTTCAATGAAGGGTCACTAGTAAGCAGGTCTTAAACAGCAACAATGGATCCTACCTGGCTCTCCACCCTGGCCCTTGCCCATGGCCAGAAACATCCCATTCCCCCATGGTCACTGGAGGCTTCTGAGTGTCTACCCGCCTCTCTGAGACATCTTGATGGACTGGGGATCGAATCAGGGGAATGTCTGAGACCCAGGTCGGTGCCATTCGTGGCACAGTTGGAAGGGGACGAGCTTGGAAGTGGGAGGGGGGAATCAGCCCAGCAAAACCTGAGGAATCACAAGAGCAACAATTGTCAGTTTCCCAGGTAGAGGCAATCACAGGTCCCCTTGCCCAGCCCTACTGACCTGAAGGTGGCAACATGTCCACGTTATCTGAAGACTCTAGATTCTGTTTCCAGTCATCTATGCTCCCCTGGACAATAGGAGAAACAAGGATACTCCAATTCAATTTTCAGGCCATCTTCCAAAGAGAAAGCCCCTACAATAACAAAGTCATAATCCTTAAATTACAGACAGGTCCACCCAACTCTCAGCTTTTTCCTATTTCCCAAAAGAGATAGTAGACCACTTGCCAGTCCCAACCTGGCCCCTGGTAGAACTGGGCAAGAACCATGATTTGGAGAGAATGTACTGAGAGGCAGAGGGGGAGCTTTTGGGTTTTCTCCTACTTCTATGATCTGGGCAGTGCCTTTACCCTCCTCAAGTTTCTACAGTGCCTGCTGCTCCTGGTTGGAGGTGAGAAAGGAGGTACAGAGTGCAGGGGCCCTGAGCCCAATCTCCAGAGTTCTCTCCATGGCTCAGCAGGGCCCTGGGGAAGCCCATCCAGGCATCTCCAAGCCATGATTCCTGGATCCTTCCCTATTAAAGCACTGACCCAAGGCCTGACCCCAGAAGAATGTAGCCACATGTAGGGGTGGATGCCTCCCTAGGACTCCTGGGAATCCAAGCAGCCTAGAGCCCATGGCAGAGAAGCCAGCTTTCTGGCATCACATGCAAGCCTCTCTGCAACTTTCCTTTCAGTTTCTCTACTATCTCCTCAACTTCCATTCCCGTTGCCCTTCTCCCTCTACAGTCCTACAGCAGAGTGGGCTCTTTAAGACCTTCCCCCCCACCACCCAAATTCACCTATTTTCTTTTTTTACAGGAATTTGGAATTCCTATTCCTGTCCCTCCCTATATCTTAGTCTGCTTTTTTCCTGAAGGAATTATTCTGGTCCCTCATTCTCACCCTCATCTCTCAGCTGATAGCGTGCTCAGTTTTCCCCTCTTCCCGCCCCCAGATTCACCCTGCTAGACTCTGAGCTCTAAGGCTGTTTTTTTTGACCACCTCGTCTGTTCCTTTACCAGGCCCTTGCACCCCTCTTCCCCTATGGACCCCCTGAACCCACCCCAGCACCCCCTCTCAGCCCCTTCCCGCCCGCAACCGACTCTCCCAGAACGTCCCTCACCCAGCGCGAGAGCCCCCTCAGCCCTTTAGCCCCACCCCCTACACCTCCCTCCGGGCCCGACATCCACCCCCGAACGCGCATGCGCCAGGCGGGTGGGCTGGCGGGCTCCTGTAAAGTCTTATTTTTGCCCCGGAAGGAAGAATGAGAAAAGTTTACGCAGGCGCAGAGACATCTAAGGCTGCGCCCAATTAACGAGTCAGGCATCTCCGCGCCCTGACGGCTCCTCCCCACTCCGGGAACCCGGGAAAATTTGTGAACTAATCAGAAAAGGTGGAAGGCGGGATATCGGGGGGACAAACCCGGCACACCGCCCAATAGAGTGGAGGAGAGCAAATGAGATGGCCAATCAGAAACAGCACGGGGGCGGGCTAACTTGGCGCGAAGTCGGACCCGGGAATTCCGAAGGAGGAGTCCGCTCTGCCCGCGCGCCGAGACCGCGCCCCTCCGGGTCCCGGCTTTCAGACTGTCAAACTGCAGCGGGAGCGAAGGTCCCAGCCGAGGAACTTGAAGGGCACTGCCTGGAGCGGAGACTACTCCGAGACTGCACCGCGCGGGTACATTTGAAATTGGGATGGACTGGGAGAGAAAAGGTCTAGTTTTGCCTAGCGGGATCGCTAGGAGCGCCTTTTTCTGTCTATGCCATCCAGAGAAGCCAGGAAGCAAGGGGTTAGATCCGCTTTGTTAGAGCATTTAGGGACCCGTTTGCATGCACAGCTCTTTAGGGTGACAGTGAATCCACTTCCCTTAGGGGTTCAAACTCGTTATGAGGAATTGGCCAGAAGAGCGGGCGCTGGCAAAAAGAGGAGGTGTTATTTGGATAAACTAGTTTGGCAGCAAGCTTCTCTTCACCAAATTAGAATTGATAAGTTCGTATTGCATGTATGTTTGTACAAAAGAACACACACACACACCCCTCCAGTCCGCATTTCCCCCAGAAGCCGCCTAATGTATCTTTACCTTGCACAGATTGAAGGCTTCCCGGATGTTTGGCGGCCTGAGGATCCAGCTCAACTGAGGTGCCACCGGAGGTGTTCCTGTTTTTGCATCAGGACCTTCCCGGAAATTTTTAGCTGCAAATTTGTTAACAGCTAATTTTTGCATTGTGTACCTAGGCTGCTTGCGTCAGATTTTGCACTACTCTGGCTGTGAAATTATACACGGCACAGCTCGTTTGCAAGACTGAGAAGCTGGACTTAAGCCAAAGGTGCATGGTCCGGTAGTGGGAAAGGTGATGGATTCTTAAGTGGAAGAGGTGGTGTGAGGGGCACCGCCCATGCTGCCCTGCTTCCAGCTGCTGCGCATAGGAGGCGGCAGGGGCGGTGATCTCTACACCTTCCACCCTCCAACCGGGACTGGCTGCACCTATCGGTTGGGCTGCAGGGCCGACCTGTGCGATGTGGCCCTGCGGCCCCAGCAGGAGCCTGGCCTCATCTCTGGGATCCATGCAGAGCTGCATGCTGAGCGGAGAGGTGATGACTGGAGGGTCAGCCTGGAGGACCATAGCAGCCAAGGTAAGCAGTAAGCAGGGCAGCCTTGCCCCCGGGCAGTTCCAAGTTGGAATGAGTGAAGGGATCCAACTATCAGGTCGGACAGTCATGACCCAGGCTGTCTGCCCATCAAAAGTGTGCCCTGTCAGCTCTCTATAGGACTAGGAAGTAGAAGTAGGGTCTGGGACATCATCAGCCAGTGTCACAGTGGGATGTTTTGGGGCCAAGCTCAGACTTGGCTCCATTTCCAGTATTGTTGAGGCACCTTGTTCCTGTGTTAGGACAGTTACAATTAATGTTTTAGTGACCTGGGCGTGGTCTTTCTTCCCAACTCAAGGCTGCCTTCACAGTTGAGTTCTGCCTCTGATCCTTGGACCAACAGGCCCATCACTTCACCTCTCCAGATCTTGGTTTCCTCTTAAGTAAAACAGGCTTGGTGAATTCTGTTCTGTGGTGCTGTGGGCATCAGACAATAGTAGCCATTACTGTTTGTTATGAGCTAGGCATTGTTTTAAGTATATTGAATATAGATGGCACTAATAGAATACCTTTTATTCACAAAAAAGAAAAAAAAAGGCACAGAGGTTAAGAAATTAGCCATAGAGCCTGGCATGGTGGTACACATCTATAATCCTAGCACTTGAGAGGCTGAGGCTGGAGGATCATGAATTCAAGGCCAGCCTGAGCTACATGTTTTTGTCTCAAACAAACAAAAGACAGCTTGTAAGTAGTAGAGTCAGGATCTGAATTAATCCGAGCTACGCTGCCTATTGAATTGGAGCTGGCCCTAGGCACAATGATGGAGAAGCCCATCATGGGAGAACACAAGAAAAGCAAACTTGGTCCCTGCTCAGAAGGAGCACATATGTGGTGTCACCTGCTGAGGGTCTTAAAAAGTCAGAAAGAATTTGATGTTTTTCCCCGTGTCCCCTGAAAATCAACCAGGGCCAGAGTTTTCTACTCCTGACTGGTCATTTTTGTTCTTGTCATTGTTTCGTACCCCACCATCAACAGGGACTTTGGTCAATAATGTCCGACTCCCAAGGGGCCACAGGCTGGAGTTGAGTGATGGTGACCTCCTGACCTTTGGCCCTGAAGGACCCCCAGGAACCAGCTCCTCGGAGTTCTACTTCATGTTCCAGCAAGTCCGGGTCAAACCTCAGGACTTTGCTGCCATTACCATCCCTCGGTCTAGGGGAGAAGTTGGGGCTGGGGCTGGTTTCCGGCCCATGCTGCCCTCCCAGGGGGCCCCACAGAGGCCCCTCAGCACCCTGTCCCCAGCCCCAAAGGCCACACTGATCCTCAACTCCATTGGCAGCCTCAGCAAGTTCAGGCCCCAGCCCCTTACCTTCTCCCGGAGTGGGGGTGGGCCACAGAGCCTGCCTGTTTCCACTCCACCCGAGGAAGTGAGAACCCCACCTGCTCCACCCCCACGAAATCGGAGGAAATCAGCTCACAGAGTGTTGGCAGAACTGGATGATGAGAGTGTAGCTCCCGAGAGCCCCCCACCAGTACTTATGGGGCCTAGGAAGAAACTCCGGGTGGAAAAAGCCCCACTGACACCCAGTGGGTAAGTAGAGTCATCACTGTCTTGTCAGCCTTTCACTGCCTTTTGACTCTTTGAGTCTTAAACTGAGTTCTCTCAAGTTGGAAAAATGAGAACAGATGTAGAATATATTGGAATGGCAAGATCCGAGTTAGCTCTGACAAATACATACAAGTTAGGGTAGGTTAGGGTTTTTTTAAACAAAAAACCAGAAAACTCCTGGGTGCTAGGGATTTAGTTCACTGTGAGAGTACTGGCTGCCTCAAATTTTTGCCAGTACTGAGGGCATATGTTTTTGTTTTGATTTGGGTTTGTTTTTTTTTCTGAGATGGTCTCACCATGTAGTCCAAGCTGGCCTCAAACTTTCAGTCTGCCTATTTCAGCCTTCTAAATTCTGGGATTACAGGTGTGCTGAACTCAGGTTATCTAGGATATTAGACATCTGCTCTACTATTAAACTATACCCCCAGCCTAAGTTCCTACTTTTTACAGAGGATTTTCATCCCATTCTTCTATTGCTTAATGATGGAGAATTAATTTCTAGGCTCACACTATCTACTGAGTCTTAAATTCCTCACCCTGTGATAATCCATGGGCAAGGTCTAGGCTTCTACAGGTTTTTCAGTGACTCTGGTATTTGTCATTTCCTTCAGAAATCAACATGGAAACACCCATGTCTCTCCCTGCATTTGGGGGTGGAGAGCGCTGTGCAGCACCTTGTTGCAGCCTTCCTCAAGAAGAGACAGTGGCCAGGGTTCAGTGTGACAGTTAATACCTGGTACCATATGGCCTGTGTTGGCTATAGCATCCAGGCTGCCAGGGAGGCTGACTTCCAATGTCCAGGGTGCTGTGTTGGCATCCAGACCTAAGGCCCATCACCAGATCACCAGAGGACACAGAACTGGCACCTCTAGTCCAGTATTAGACACAGTCAGATAAAAATGGTTCATAAGAATTGCTCTTTTCTTCCCTTCCCTCTGCAGGAGAGAATGACTACAGGGAAAGTTCCGTGCTGTGGACATGGATTCAGGGCCTGGAGCCCTGACAGAAGAAAACTTCCTGCCAAAGACACGGGCCTTCAGCAAGTTACAGTGAGCTGAAATTTTCTGCTGTTATAAGTTGTAAAACCTTCTTGTCATGGACACCGAGAGTATCTGCGCTTAGAGCACCCATCAGTTGCAGAAGCCATACCTGTGAAGATGTAAGGAATTTTTCTGTTTCTTTTTTCCTTTTGTTGGGGATCAAACCCAGAACCTTGATCATGCTAGGCATGCTCCACCACTGAACTACATCGTCAGCTCCCTTAATGTTCTTGAATGGTATCATCTAAGGCACAGCCCCCAAAACTATTTTACACTGGCCAGTTCTGTTGCTGACCATGATCTCGGTGACCTAGCTTTTCAAGTTTTACTTTTATTTACAAATAAACAAGCAGCTTCATCTACCTCTGAGTATTTAATCTTATAGGCCTGATTCTTGTGGTTCTGATACTCTCAAGAGCAGGTGAAGATGAATAAAGAAAGTATGAACCTCCTCGTTCCAAAAGTGTTAATATATGGGATGAGGTGTGAAAAAAAAAAAACCCAAGAAATTAAGATCTCTAGTTAAAGGGAAAACAAATCCACTACCACTAAAATAAGGTAGTTGGGATCTGGTAAGGTTTATGAGAACAATGGAACTTTTACAGGCTATACTAGCTAATTTTTTTTATTACTTATTTTGGTGGGACTGGGATTTGAACTCAGAGTTTTGAGCTTCCAAAGCAGGCACTCTATAGCTTGAGCCATACCACCAGTCCTATAGGCCATACTAATACCATCAGGAAAAGAGAAAAAAGCTAGTAAAGCAGCTACAGCACTGACCTGGCCTGGTGTGGATTAACCTCCTAACCTATGTAATACAGAATACGTGTCAGTTTTCTTCCGTGAACCTCTACCAAGCCAAGATATTGGCAACGCATCATATCCTTTCTACAGTTTTCACTAGGAAAGCCTTACTTGGACCTATTCTACTGCAACCCACAACCCCTCCTTCCTAGACTTACCAATCCATGTTTCCCATATTAAGGAAACCTCACAGCAAGGGCCCCTAACTAGCTAGTGACAGAATCAAGAATAAGATTAGGGTATTTGGTGAATCACTTTAGTACAAGATGTACAAAAATCTAAGTGGAATCAAATGGATAAGAAAACAGAAGGTGCTCAGCAGTGGTGGCTCTCACTGAGATTGGGAGGATCACAGTTTGAGTCCAAGCCCAGGCAAATAAATAGTTCAAAGACCCTTTCTCCAAAATAACCATAGCAAAATGGACTAGAGGTGTGGCTCAAAAGGTAGAGCGCATGCTTTGCAAAAGTAAAGCCCTGAGTTGAAACCCCAGTCCCACCAAAAAAACAGGATGTAGAGTTTCTGGTTGGGGTGACATGCAGCAGAAACAATTATTTGAAGCCTTGATTTCTTTCTTCTTTTTTTTTTTTTTTTTGTGGACTGGGGTGTAAACTCAGGCCTACACCTTGAGCCACTCCACCAGCCCTTTTTTGTGATGGTATTTTTTTTGAGATAGGTTCTCTTGAACTCTTTGCACAGACTGGCTGCAAACTGTGATCTTCCTGACCAGCGCCCAGCTGAAGCCTTGATTTCTTAACAAAGCCACTGAGGGGACTGGAGGTGTGGCTCAAGCTGTAGAGAACCATCCTTACAAGCGTGAAGCCCTGAGTTCAAACCCAGTAATGGCAATAAATAAATAAATAAAAATAAAGTCACTGAGGACTTCCAGAGTAGTGTGGAAAAAACAGAAAGCTGATGAGGAATAGGCTCCTCAGGGACTGCATCTATGGGCAGAGGTATGGCATTCAAGCTAAATCCTCCAGGACCCCAATAACTAGCTTAGGCCTGTCAGGGACCTCTGCAAACAAATGGGGTCCAATCTGAACTCTCTCCCAAGTATTTTGTGACCTCAAGAAGTTTAAATGGCACCTCAGTTTCCCTGAAATAACTTGGGTATGAGAATAGACAGTATTGATTTTTGGGTTTCTCCATTCTCACTTCCTCATCAATAACTAAAGGAGGACAAACCAAAGACAAAATTGTGTTATCTGTTGTGTCCCAGGCTTCTTTATTTAAGAACAAAGTGATGAGTAATGTGGGGATTAAAATCAAGAGCATCATTGAACTTCACCTTCCTTCCAACCACTCCCCAAGTTCCCTGCTTCCAATTCCTTCCTTAGTGAGTCAAGAACTTAATCCCCAAAGCCCTGGTACAGACTCCAGGTTCTCTTTCCCTAGCTTCTCTCCTTTCCTCTGCCTCCTATCCCTGGGAAGGGCAGGCATTTCAGTTTGAATGCATGGGAGAGCCCAGAGTGGTGACAGACACAGGGGGATAGGCTTCCCCCTCAGGGAAAGGGACTGAGGAATAGAGGGTGGTGAAGTGAGGGCTCCCATAGCCTGGGGTACCAAAATGGGGCCCTGGAGCCAGAGGGAAGGACACAGGTGCCCCTGAGAAGGGAGACCCTGCAGCCTCAAAATCCTCTCGTTGGGAATAGTCACTGCTTGATCGTTTGCCCTTCTGGCGCCGATTACAGAACCACACTCGGACCACCTGGGAGTGGACAACACAGAGGAAAGTGACATTGGACCATAAGCTCAGGGAAGTGAGTCTGGCTCTGCTTGAGTATTTCACCCCAAACCAACAGCCCTGGAGTGGTGAGAGGACAGGAGCCAGAGCTGGGGAAAGGGAAGTGGCAACTGGGAGGGGGATTATGGAACAACATGGGGATGGGGGCCGGGGCACTTACATCCTTCTCCAGCCCAAGCTGCTGGGCAATGAGGCTGATCTGCTGCAGTGTGGGTTTTGGGCACTGCAAAACATGCTCTCCAAGTTGCCTCTCACGCGGTTCTCGATGCTTGTTCGCTTTCTCTTTCGGGCCTGCACAAGGGTCTCCGCTTTGCATATCTGAGCAGGTGGGGAGGAATTGACAAGGGTAGGCATTGGACTTGCTGGCTGACAGCACCACGTTGAGGGACCAGTGGCTTGAGAGCAAATTGCTAAGGGAGCACTAACTGGATGTGTCCTGAGAACTAGGAGAATTGAAAGGAGGGATCCTGGAAGCAGAGGTTTTGACCTGAGGCTTCTCCAGGCAGAATCAAGGGATCACTTTACCCTTCCTCCATCCCACTGAGAATTGCTGCCACGGGGTGGCCTAGTGGGAAAGCATGTGCTTGCTTAGCAAGTGCAAGGCCCTGGGTACCAATCCCCAACCCCAAACCCTACCCCTGAAACACAGACAACTGCTGCCCCCAGGTGGAGAGGGAGAGTTTCAAGTCAGGGAAGGAGGCAATGGAAATGGCTGTGATGAGGCAGGTCAGGTCCCATGCACCCCTTGCACCCTTACCTCCTGAAGGTTCTCATTGTTATCAGCTTCCTCCACCCATTTCTGCAACAGGGGACGCAGCTTACACATGTTCTTGAAACTGAGCTGCAGAGCCTCAAAACGGCAGATGGTTGTTTGGCTGAACACCTTTCCTGGAGGCCAGTTGAAAAGAGGCAACATGAGGCAGGACCCAGGCCCCTATTACCTCAAGCCCCAGCCTTGCTGCCTTTTCTAGCCTCACAACTCCCACAGAGGCCACTCAAATCCCAAGTGTCATCTCCCTTTCCCCATGAATCCCTGAAGCCCCTCCCCTCACTCCCTTGATGGGGAGGAAAGTTCGTGAGTTCAGGAATGTTCCTTCCAGGGGAGATATGGTCACTGTGGGGTCAGAACATACTGAGGAAGACCCACCAAAAAGAACCCCCAGAGTGAGCCCCACATCGGCCTGGGTATATCCCAGGGTAATCCTCTTCTGCTTCAGCAGCTTGGCAAATTGTTCGAGTTCTTTCTGCAGAGATTTCATGTCCTGGGACTGCATTAAAAAAGGCAGAGAACTTGTAAGAACACAGACACACCAATCATCAGCTTCCTATTCAGGGTTCAAGAATCTGACTGTGGTCCCAAGGATAGTCTGTGGGGGTATCTCAGCCCCCCAGGCAGCCTGTTTGAAACATGTACAAATGTCACACATTCACAACCCCTCCTGTGACAAGAAACTGTGTCCCCAAGAATTGGGCACATCCACTAGAAAGAGCACCAGCTGGCCTCCATGAGCTTATGCAGTGAATCCTGCTGCCAACTCAATATTCATAACAGGCTCTTTGACTCACAAGTTAATTACACCTAGTTTGAAGTTTTTTGAAACTACAAAGCTAAAGTGCATTGTGTCTTTTGATTTTAAATTCAAGATACTCTTCCCAGCTTGAGGGTCCCAAACTGGCATGCATACACACAAATAAGCATTCTGTAAAAATTAGAATAACTGGTGTTATAGGAGGTATGAAGTGTTTTCTATACACATGGTATTCACTATTTTTTAAAAATCTAATTATCCTTTATTTTTATTATGTCTTTTTGCAATTATTGAGGCATTTTCATTGATTAACTTAACGGATGTATTAAACTCCCATTTTATTTTTATTTTTGAGACAGGGTCTCACATATGTAGTCCAGGCTGGCCTCAACTCTGGATACTCTGCCTCAGCTTCCTCAGTGCTGAATTACAGATGTACACATCATGCTCAGCTCTTATTAAACACCTTCTATAACCAGAAGCCACACAAAATAGACAAAGTCCTGACCCATGGAGCTTACCTTCAATGTGGGAGATAAGTAACTGCCTAACTACTATCCCGCAGGAAGAGAAGTGCTATTGGAAAAAAGTCAAGCTGAGCACCAAGAGTATAGTAGAGGCAGGGAGGAGATCATGGGGTAACGCTTTTAAATTAGAACTGAAAAGTCCTGACCTCATGGAGCTTACCTTCCAATGTGGGGAGATAAGTAACTGCTAACCTACTATCCCGCAGGAGAGGAAGTGCTTTGGAAAAAAGTCAAGCTGAGCACAGAGTATAGTAGAGCAGGGTAAGGATCATGGAGGTTAACGCTTTTTAAATTAGAACTGAAAAGTTGATATTTAAAAGGTCAGAGGGGCTGGGTAGGTCCTCGGATGCTGGGGACAGTGACTTCCGTTCATGGTTCACTATGACATCTTACTCATATCTAAAACATTGCAACCGACTATGAGAAGGCAAGAATATAATTTAGGAAGACTACTACCTTAATCCCAGCACAGATGTTAGTGCTGCGGAGGGGAGTGAGGGAGGAGAGGGACATGACTGATGCACAGTGACTTTAGAAGGTTAAAGATAGCACTGCTTCCCATGGAGGTTAAGATGCGAAAGGAATAAAAGTGGCTGGTTCTGATTGTGCAATGTGTGTGGTGGGGCAGTTTAGGTCATCCCAGCAGAAGACAGAAAATTCTGTAATCATCTGATGTCTAAATGGCATGGAGCCTTGAAGGTGATGAGAGGAAGAAGGGTAGATAAAGTAGAAGTTAAAGGGCGAGGCCCCAGGGAACTCCAGTGCAGGGCAGGGCAGCCCAGAAGACAGATGAGCAGCAGAGAGAACATGGCCTTTCCATGCAGTCCTGGAATCCTTAATGAAAGATTTCGATAGTGACAGATTTTGCCATCAGACCAGGGCAATTTTATTCTCAAATGTGCTGCTTACCAATGACTCAAACATAATACCCTCAGCTGTCCTCTCAGCTTTCCAAATCCTATTTTGGTGATTTGGAAATAAGGTAAACACAGTTCAGATCCTTGTAGTTAAGACTCATGAAATAAGCTAAATAGGGACTCCTGGAGATTTTTGTCACTAATGAGATAATGATGTATAAGCCGAGCACACCAGACAGACACTTAGGAAGTGGACCCCAATTGGCAGCCATTTATTTCAGCAGTCACCTCCTGCAAAGAGGCTGGGGTTACTCACTCACCTCGGCATCCACTCACACCTTCAGTGAGGGCTGAGGGCTTTGTACTTGAGCTCTAATTGCTTCTGCACTTGTTGCTTCCAAGACTAGAGTACACACATCTCCTTAATAGTCCCCAGCAGGCTGAAGGCCTTCGGTTGCTCAGAGAATCCTGCACACTTCCCAAACAGCCTGGAGATAACTTCTCCCACTCTCTTTTTCTTATTTACAACTTAAGGAACCGAGACCAAAATCTATCAAATCAGTACCTCCAACTCCCAACAAAGGGCACCAGGGTATGCATTTAATGTAATTGTGACTCATGGGCCTGAGGTAGAGGTCGAGGGACAGGCTTTAAACTTGACTGGAGATGAACCCAACTGCACCCAACACACAGCCCAAACAGGACCTCCTATCAGAAACCAGTCACACCCTAGCCTTTCAGGAACAATAACCCCGGATAAGCACTGTTTTTACCCTCTGGCTGTGCTTAACCCGTAAAGGCCAAGATCCTAGGTCTGATAAGGATCAAATTTTCTAGAAAGGGATCAAACCCACCCTACACTGTACCTGATGCCGGACTGATACTTAGCAAGTCATCCCCAGCAGGCCTAGGAAGTGTACGAGACCTACTTGACAAGAACCAGCTGGAGCAACAGACAGGCCGGGCAGGGCCAGAGCAAGGGACAATTCAGGCCAGCTTCCGACTCTCTGCTTTGGAATTCCAACTCCTAGTTTTCATCTTGCCCCAGCCTCCCAAAACCCCTGCAGTCACATCTCCCACTGCCTAGGGTGGCTGAGTTGCCTTGTCCCCTCGGGCTGTCTAGACCTGGGCAGCTGCAGATGACCACCTCCCCCTCATTACCACCTATGCCAGCCTAACCACCTCCTGTACCCTGTCCCTGTTGCATCTCACTCACCTCCTCAGGGTTTTGGTCCAACTTCTCCTTCTCCTGCTTCACAGCACCAGACTGGGCAGTGCAGGTCCCAGGGGAGGCCCCCTCCGAGTGGCTCTCTACCCCAGCTCCTGATTCGCCCTCAGGCTGCAAGGTCTCCAGGCCGACTTGGGGCACTAGGCCCACTCCAACCTGAGGTCCACAGTATGCCACCCCTCCACAGAACTCATACGGTGGGGGACATGGAGAAATCCCCCATACCTCTGAGCCTGGTCCAACCCCCGGCCCGATTCCTGGCCCACCAGGAGGACCTTGAAGGCTCAGCCAGGTGCGAGGGTCCACCCAGCCTGGTTCCAGCCCTCCTGTCCCATCGCCCCCACCTCCCGGTGGGGGCGAGAAGGCAAAATCAGAAGCCAGGTGTCCAGCCATGGGGAGAAGGGCACCCCAAGCCGGGGGCCTGAGGAAATAAGGGATCACCAAGGGACTGCTCAACACCTCTCTCCCTTCCCAAACCCACCCACTAGCCTTGACCTCTGGCCCCGCCTCCTGGATGGGTGGAGGAGAGGACGGTGGGGGTGGGAGAAACTGAGGCTAAGCCTGTTTGCCTGATAAGAGGCAGTGGCATCTGGAAGGGCAAAGCTGGGGACACCTGACTAGGCACCCCTTCTGGGTGCCTCCACTTTCAACTTCCAGTGGGCTACAGGGCCCTCTCTTATACCCAGAGCTATCTGGGATCCCTTCGGCAACACCTCCACATTCTTCAGGTGCTGAGCCACCTCTCCAAAGACCCCTAGCACTGTCCCCTCATTGGAGCCAGCCAACCACCCTGCTCAACTTCTTAACTACTTATTAAGCATGTATGTGTCAAGTATTTCTGGGGCCACCCCTCAATACAGTAACAACCACAAGCTCCTTGACCAGCTGTCCTGCTTTGGCTCCCCCACCCCATCCAGAAACGTAGCATTCCTATGCAGATACTGGCCAAATCCAGTTACTCTAAAGCCTTGATGCCGGACACCCATCTGCCAAGCTTGCCAAGTTCCACCCTATCTCTAGAGGCAAACTGCTGGACAGGCCTCCACTCCATTCCCCCAGTCCTCAGGCTCCCGTCTCCTCACCTAATAGACTCAGGGATTGATCCTTACACATATACTTCCCATTATAGATCCAGACTCTGGATTGACTGAACCTGAGTTTTCCGACCAACATCCAGACCGAAGGAACTGACAACCTCATCATGGGTCTCCCCACCCCCACCCCATCCCTCTGTCCCCTCACAGTCTGGGCATCGGCAGCTAATATCACAGCAAGCTCAGTTCTCCCTCCCCCACCTCTCCTTCCTAAGCCTCCAGTCTTAGTTCCTGGGTGGAGAGAACCAAGGGGTGGGAGGCATGTGGAGAAAAAAATATCTGCCTTCAGGTTCAAAGAGGCCTGGGAGGGACTGGGGGAAGGGGGCAGGACAATGGCCTTGGCTGGACAATCCTGGTCCCCAGAGGGGGCAGCTCTAACCCTAAACAAGTGCTCAACTCTTGAATGGACCTGGATGGCTCCCCTGGGGACAACTTCCTGCTCCCCAGCCCCCCTAGCCCCAATCCCCTCACACAGATTCCCCTCAGAGCCTCCAACAAACCATCCTCTCCAATCCCCTCAAAGACTGAGCCTCAGACAGGCTCCTGCCAGGATTTAAGGAGCCTGCTCCCCCTTCCACTGGGGACTCTGGCATCCAGCCTCATCACCCACCCCTCCCCCAGCCCCCCAGGTCCGGGGATATGCTTTGTTTAGGGGGGCTGGCTGGCAGAAAGATACTGAGATGGTGGTGATTTGGAGGAGGGGTGCTGGAAGCCTACCCTAAGCTTTCCCTGAGGGTCTGTCTTTTGGGGCCTGGTCTGTGAGTCCTGAAGGCTGACGTAGCTGGCCTACTGTTTGGTTCTGCTTGCAAAAGAATAGCCCTGAGTACCTATCTGCGCGAGATGTTTGTCTGCCTACTCCCAAAACTTGCCCTAAATGAAGGCCCCTGGGCTCCACACGGGCTCTTGACCATAGTGTGGAAGACCAGAATTCTGAGCCTGGGACGCTGACCTCTGGTTACTCAAGACCCAGTCCTGCCTGAGGTTGTCTACTGGGGTTGATGGCTCTGTCTGCTTCTCTAAGGACCTGGGTGACGATGGCCAATTGTCTTCATCACAGTGCAACCCGTGAATCTTTTTAACTTGTTTTGTACTTTCTCCACCTGAGCCTCCGCTCCTACCCATCTTCCACCTGTATATACTTTTTTGGGCAATTGGCCCTACAAATGAATTTCAATACCTTGCATTGGTCAATTTAAAGAACTACTGGCAGTGGGGCTAAGTGCTGTGTTCACCTCACAACCATTAACTGCCCCAAAGACAGGTAAAAGAGCCCTGTGGGGGTGGAGAGACAGTTTCGGAACAGGAGAGGCCCCTCCCCAGCCATCTCCTCAACCCCCAGGACAGAGCCATCCCGGCACCTTTGTCATGCATTTATCTGCTGTCTGCCAAGAGGACAGCCTCCCTGAGGGGGAGGGGCAGGTGAGGGCTGAAATCTCTTGCACTGGGGCCCCTCAACTGGCCACCCTGTAGCTCCTAGGAACCCCCACCTCAAGCCAGTCCAGAGTGTCCCCTCTAACCCCGTTTTCCCAGTGGCCCACTCCCCCACTTAACACTACCCTTGTTTTTTGGATTACAATTTCTACTTACTCTAAGTGGTAAGTTTTTGGCATGGATAAGACCCCATTCTGGGGAGGGACCTGGGTGCCTGGGTCCTTAACTACCTTATGACCAGACATCTGAGCCAAGTAAGTCCTATGCATGCCTGGAGTCTGACCTGGAACCTTGATACCAAGTTAAATTTGTCTGGAGTCCGAGCTGGCCTTCTCCTTGGGTGCTCTGGGCTGCCAGGAGGCTAAGACTTTCTCTCCTCCTCCTTCCGCACCCTATTAGGCTTGAAGGGTAGGCAGCCTCCCTTCTGCCTAGGCTACCTTTCCCCAGGCCTGGCCTGGTGCTGTCAGGCCCTGTTGGGCCTGGAAGAAGCTGGAAGAGGGGCTGAGCCATCCAACCTTGCTTCTTGGCTCTCCTGGGTCTTAACGTGTCACACAAAAAAACCTCAAGACACCAAAACTAATTTGAGACTAGGCTCACAAACTCTCCACATTCATCTTTGCTGTAGTACAAGGCTTGTCCCAGAGCTCTGCCTGGAGACCGAGGGAGGGCAGTTGAGAGCCACCCTCCCACACCAGATGTGGCCCACCAGCATGGTGCCAAAATATGACATAGGCAGCTTTGCTACTATGAGCTCAGCCATCGCCTTCCTGGGGGTGAGTGCAGTTTGACTAGAAAACCAGCTGAAAGAACTCAGATGGGGACCAACTGGAGAGAGCTAGGAAACCTTTTATTTTAACTTCTGGTTTCTGTCAATCTGAAGGCAAGAGAGGGAAGGAATGCAGGGCTGAGGAGAGAAGTATTCAGGCCTGGCCCACCTTGGTGCTGACTTCTCTGAATCCCAATGTATACAGATTCCACTGTAGACCACCTGTCTTCCCCAGCTTCTCAGCAACTGGCCCTCCAGCCTCCCTGTGGGACCTGCAAACTGAGGTCTTTTTTTTCCCCAGATTAGACAGACACTCTCAACTGGAAGAGAGGAGTTGGCTCTCTGGTCTCCCAGTCTACAGGGAGGCATAGAGGAGAGTGAGAGGGAAGGAAGCTGGAAGGAGCAGTTAGGAGTAAACCTAGAGGCCATGGACCAGTGTCCTAAACTGTGGCTCTGACTCCCCAGCTACTGCACCTCCCCCTCTGTGCCTCAGTTTCCTTGCCTAATCAAAGGACTTGGGAAGCCCAGCACCCCTGTAATCCTAGCTACTCTGGAGGTAGAGATCAGGAGGATCCCGGTTTAAAGCCAGTCCAATCAAATAGTTTTTGAGACCCTATCTTGAAAATACCCAGCATCAAAAAACCAGGGCTGCTGGAGTGACTCAAGTCATAGAGAGCTTGTCTAGCAAGCATGAAGCCCTGAGTTCAATCCCCAGTACTGCAAGGAAAAAAAACAAAAACAAAAACAAAAAAACATTCACAGGATTAAAATAGTGACATTAAAAAAAAGAGACTCTGGGGATGTAACTCAGTGTCAGAATGCTTGCGGAACATGCTTGAGGTCCTGGTTCAATCCTCAGCACTAAATAAATACATTAATTAATTGACTGCAAAAAGGAATTGAAATAAATGAGCTTTAAATCTTCTTCCAACTTGGTCAGAAAATTGCTGCCCCACTTCCAACACCCTCTTATCTACCCTCCTCATTTACTTCACATGGAAGTATAGGTTTATCTCTCTTCCCGTGTGAAGAGAAATTGGGGTGGGAAGGGTAGAAATGGGGAATCCAGTGAGATGTTGCCACAGGTCTCCCTGTGCCCCACCACTCACCTCCAAGCAGCCTTCCTGGGAAATCTGGCAGGGCTTCCCCTCAAGTTAGATCATGATATACATGAGGCATTAGGAAGCCCAGTTTGGATTTAGTTTTCAATGTTTGGGTAACTATAAGAAACACATTCCAGGTCAGACATGGTGGTGCATACTTGTAATCCCAGCACTCACACTAGGGAAGCTGAGGCAGGAGGATCATGGATTCAAGGCCAACCTGGGCTACATAGTGAGATCCTGTCTCAAAAACAAGAAACACACACATGCACACTCTAGGAAGTAAAACTTCTAATGGATAAGAAAGGGGTGGGAAGAAGGGAAAGATAGAGAGAGAGAGAAAGGGAGAGGAATACAGAGAGAAAAGAGACAGGGAGACAGGAAGGTGGTGTCTAGCTCTAATGCTGTGAGCAGCTTTGCTGTCCTGCTGTTCATTCTAAGAAAGGGGTCTGCAGCTCACACAGTGACCACTGCAGAAGCCATCCAAGGCTTAGAGATTGGGAGTGTGGCTCCATGGCATAGAGTTGACTAGCATGCCCAAGGCCCTAGGTTCAATTCCCAGCAGCACAAAAAATGATGGATTTCAGTGGACAAGTGGCTTTGAGCAGTACTAACTGTTTGGGGAACTGGTAGAGGTGGTGACCAGAGACTTTGGGGTCAGAGCAACCCATCTCTCAGTTGGTTAGCTGGACAATTGGAGGGTAGAAGGTTCCTTCTTGGAGCTTTATAAAAATCTCATGTGGCACAGGGAGGAGCAGTGGCAGAGAGGAGACTGCAAAGCCTCTTCCACCAGGAGAAACTCGTAGCAGGGCTGCCACCCATTCCTACTGCATCCCGTGGTCATTGTAGTGATGTCCTGCCCGGAGTGGCCTTGAGTGTTCAGCCTTGCATATCAAGTGGAGAAAGAGCTGGTCAAGTACCTGTGATAGAAGGAAAGCAGAATGGCTATGCAGGTCAGTGACTGGAGTGGGTTCACATAGGACTCAGGTAATTAAATAA